AGACTTCTACTGTTAGTGTAATATACCCTAAGTGAATTGTTATTTTGCGGACCTTCTCTTTCCCTGATCGTTTTGCCAATTCCTTTCTCCCACAAACACATACTTTTATTACCTCCTTCCTCCAAATCAATTCCCATACCTCTATCTACTAACAGTTTAAACCCAAACAAACACCTCTAACCACTTCTTCTAACGAGTTCGCAACAGCAACAACCCCAGCTCTCGATAGATGCACCCCATCACGAGCATACATTTCATTTCTTCCATAGAAGTGTTCCCAGTTGTCTATGAAAGATATTGCATTTGATTTGCAATATCTTTCCAGCCGGCAATTGACACCAAGTGCCCTCGATATCCATTCATTTCCCACTCCCTTTCTTGGAAGAATGCCACATATGATCGGGATTCCTCCCTTGCTCCTAACTAACTCTATGGCTGTTTTATACCTCTGAATCAGTTCCTCACTCCTAACTCGACCAACATCATTTCCTCCCACGCTAATGCAAATAATGGGATTGTTCCCATTACCAGCCATAATATCATTCATGTTGTTTATAATATCACCAATGCCAGCTCCGGGATAGCAAACCCTTAACCTGTTCCCCCTATCTCTAGCACAAAACGTTCTATCCAAGTACCTTATCTGGGAATCTCCCACAACTAATGTTTGCTTAGGTACTTCCTTTACTTTCTGAGGGGCCTGCGCTTCCTTTCTCTTCGTTGCTTTCCCTTTTGCGCGATCCACAGTCTCTCCACAGCACTCGTCCTCCAAAACGTCAAATGAATTAGAAGTTGCTATGGCGTTTGAAGGCGGCTTTATCAAAGTCTTCTTAAGGCCCCTGTCTTTCACAACTCTCCAAGACGAGGTCCCTTTACTACTGGTCTCCTCCTCTTGTGTCAACTACATCTACAAAACCCTGTTCTTAAATGCAAACCATGCTCTGAAACTCTCCCTGGACAGATGTAATAGAACCCATTATCACCACACCAGAAATAAATATCTCTTTGATATCCCCAGGGTCAAACTTAATCTGTGTACACACACTATGCAAATTAAGGGACCTAGTCTATGGAACTCGCTCCCTAGTGAATTGAAAAACTAAAACTTTTGCCTTATTTAAAAGCAAAACCAAAAAGTACCTAATTTCATCTTCTTAGTTTCCTACACCGAGCTTTAAATTTACTCCGTACCAAGTGTTACCCAATCTCCTAATTTTTATGTATTTAACCCAAACAACCTTATCATTGTGTTCATTGCTGTCTTCTTTTATGTGCTAGCCATATGCTGTGTTGTGCCTACCAATTTTTGTCAACTACCATTCAAGCTGTCATTGCAATCAATCTGATACCTGATCAACCAGGCTGTGACTCGTACGTCAGGCTGCGAGCAGCCGCGTCCAACAGCCTGGTTGATCAGTCCAGCAACCAGGAGGCCTGGTCGACGACCGGGCCGCGGGGACGCTAAGCCCCGGAAGCACCTCAAGGTAACCTCAAGGAGCTACCCATGTGTTTTAATATACTGTACCTACAATTTTCTCTCATTTTTTTTTTTCTTGCCTTGTAACTTATTATTTTTTATAAATTTTGCAAGCATTTACCTACTTAAAATTTTCTTAGATTAAGGACCTGCCCGAAAAGCTGCGCGTACTAGTGGCTTACAAGATTGTAATTACCAAGGTAACCATACTCCAAGGTAACCATATTATGTAGCCTCACAATCCCAATGTACCTTCTTGTATATGCATAAATAAGTAAATAAATAAATTGTTTCAAGCGTGGGTTGGACATGCATATGAGTGGGATTGGGTGGTTATAGATAGGAGCTGCCTTGTATGGGCCCATAGGCCTTCTGCAGTTACCTTGTTCTTATGAACTCTTGAGGATTTCTCCTGGCAAGGTCAGGGTTAGTTGTGCCTGGCTTGGAGAAGGACAACATCTCTTCCATCAGAACTATTAGCTGAATATCAAATATATGGATTTAAACTATTTCACACAGATAGATATATTAGACGAGGAGGTGGAGTAGCCATATATGTTAGGGACAATTTGAAATGTAGTCTCAAAGAGGGAATCAAAACAGAGCCACACACAGAAACTATTTGGATTGAATTAAACGAAAAAGCTAATAATATTATAATAGGAGTAATATATAGGCCACCAAATTTAGACAGAATGGAAGCAAAGCATCTATGGGATGAAATATCTAGAGCATCTAGATCTAACAGTATTTATGTCATGGGTGACTTTAATTTTAGCGGAATAAACTGGTTGAACAAAACAGGGAATAGTGAAGCAGAAGATTTTCTAGAATTAATTGACGATTGCTTTCTTACGCAACACATTAAGGAACCAACACGGGAAAATAATATTTTAGATTTAGTGTTAACAGGGAAACGCAAATTAATGACATCGAAATAGGGAGTGAGCTAGGGAGCAGTGATCACAAAGAAATCAGATTTAGCATAGAATGGAATAGACCAGTAGGAGAAAATTCTGTTAAAGTGCCAGATTTTCGAAAAGCTGATTTTAATAGCCTAAGAAATTTTTTGGGTCAAATTGATTGGAAAGGCTTGGGTATGGGGTGTGGGCCGGTCTTGGAGCGAGACATGAACCCAGCGATAGGTGACTTAAATGGGGATTTCGATGTGGATTCAATATATAACTTATTTAAGAATATTCTAAACAAAGCACAGGAACGTAGTATACCATACAAATTGAATAGATCGTATACTAATGACCCAAAGTGGATAACAAAGAATTTGAAGAACCTTATAGGTAAAAAGAGAGCTTGGTACAAAAGGATTAAAAATGGGGAGGTCACTTTAGAACAGGAATTCGTACAACTGGTTAGAAATGTTAAAAAAGAGATAAGGAAAGCAAAAAGAAACTATGAAGTTCGCATAGCAGGGCAAGCAAAGACAAATCCTAAAGGGTTTTTTCAGTTATATCGTACTAAGACTAGGGAAAGGATAGGTCCATTAAAAACTGAGACAGGTCAAATAACAGATAGTGATGAAGAGATGAGTAGTATTTTTAATAAATATTTTGTATCTGTATTTACTAAAGAGGAACTTAACAATATGCCTTCAGCCGAACAAGTCTATGTGGGTGGGGACGAGGACAGGTTGACGAGTTTAGCAGTTACCAGGGAGGATGTTCTTAAACAAATAGTAAAACTCAAACCAAACAAATCCCCAGGGCCGGATGAAGTGTTTGCTAGGGTGCTTAAAGAATGCAAAGAGGAGCTTTGTGACCCACTGTCAACCATATTTAATAAATCAATAGAGTCAGGCAGAGTGCCAGTTTTGGAAAGTTGCTAATGTGTTACCAGTTTTTAAGAAAGGAGATAGATCACTTGCGTCTAACTATTGACCAATTAGCCTAACGTCTATTGTGGGAAAGTTACTCGAATCTATAATAGCAAATAAAATTCGTCTTCATCTTGAAAAACATAAATTAATAATTGAGTCGCAACATGGTTTTATAAATGGCCGTTCATGTTTAACAAATTTGTTATCTTTTTATTCTAGCATTGTTGAGGCAGTTGATAGTGGTAAGGATTGCGATGTTGTATACCTTGACTTTAGCAAAGCTTTTGATACAGTGCCACATGAAAGACTGATTAAAAAAATAGAGTCTCATGGTATTGGGGGTGCTATATTAAGCTGGATTAGGGCATGGCTATACCAAAGGAAACAGAGTTAGTATAAATGGAATCAAGTCAGAGTGGGAAAATGTTGTAAGTGGAGTGCCTCAAGGCTCTGTCCTGGGACCTCTGTTGTTTATAATATATATAAATGATTTAGATTCAGGTTTGAGTAGCAACATTTGCAAATTTGCCGATGATACGAAAATCGGTAGGGAAATTAATTCGGAGGAGGACTCACTATCACTTCAAGTTGATCTAGATAGGGTTTTGAAATGGTCAAAGGATTGGCAGATGCAGTTTAATGCTGATAAATGTAAAGTTCTGAGGTTAGGTAATGATGATAGAGTTACAAGATACGAGCTAGATGGTGTTGTGATTGCGAAGTCGGATTGCGAAAGGGATCTGGGAGTTATGATTAGTAAGAATTTAAAACAAAAGGATCAATGCATAAATGTTCGTAATAAGGCAAATCGGACACTTGGATTTATTAATCGCAGCGTTAGTAACAAGACACCTGGTGTGGTTCTCAAGCTATATCTTGCTCTAGTTAGGCCCCATTTAGATTATGCAGTTCAGTTTTGGTCGCCATATTATAGAATGGATATAATTCACTTGAACGTGTCCAGCGTAGGATGACTAAGTTAATTCCCCAAATTAGAAATCTTTCATATGAAGAAAGATTAACAAAGCTTAAGTTGCATTCACTGGAAAGGCGAAGAGTTAGGGGTGACATGATAGAGGTTTACAAGTGGATGAATGGACATAACCGGGGGGATATTAATAGGGTATTAAAAGTATCAACACAGGACAGAACACGAAACAATGGATATAAATTGGATAAGTTTAGATTTAGGAAAGACTTGGGTAAATACTGGTTCAGTAACAGGGTTGTTGATTTGTGGAACCAATTGCCGCGTAACATTGTGGAGGTGGGGTCCCTCGATTGTTTCAAGCACGGGTTGGACAAGTATATGAGTGGGATTGGGTGGTTATAGAATAGGAGCTGCCTCGTATGGGCCAATAGGCCTTCTGCAGTTACCTTTGTTCTTATGTTCTTATGTTCTTATGTAATTGTGATGAGGGAGATGATGAATGTTTCCGGCATGAGTGTGGCTGCGGAGGTCCGTGACTCAGGGCCACTCAAGGGTGTGACACCAGTCTTGACCTTGGCCACCACACCCCCACACTCTCTACCACCACAACCTACAACAACCACAATACAACAACATCAAACTTCAAAACACAATAAATCTTACAGATTTATAAACAAACTTTTGCTCTCCGAGCAAGAACAAACAAAACAACAACACTACGGTGGTTGGTATATTTGTTGAGTGTTGAGAGTACTGACCATAGTGTAGTGTGGTGAAGAGCACCGCCACACCCACCAGGTGCCTCAAGTGTGCTGCTGACATAGTGATGGTGTTGTCCTTGGTGGTGGTGGTGTGGGTCAGAGTGTACACTGTCTCCCTCCTCTCGTGTGGCCGCTGCTCCTCTCACTGCTGCTCTGCTGCCTCCCTCCACTCTCCCCCACCACCTCTCCCCCTCACAAACAAAGACCCCATCCCCCCCCTCCCTCTGGCAGAAACTTTCCTGCTACAATATAGCGTCACAATCTAAATAAAAAATAAATAAATAAATGTTTATTCAGGTAACGTACATACAAGAGATTTTACAAAAATTGATGGATTTATAGATAGAGCTAGTACATAAAATGCCTAAGGCCACTATTACGCAAAACGTTTCGGGCAGCCCATCTATACCATGAATCTTTTATAATTATATTACCGGCAGTGTGTAACATATTTATAATGGTCAAGTTGAACTGTTGACTAGTTTTGTACAACTCAAAATTATTTAAATCACTACAGATGACAGCTCAATTATCTCAATAACTTTCCTAATTAAGGTCTCATTGCCATCTGTAAAATAGCTGTCATCGAGCGGTACAGTTAACTTATAATAATAATTCGTTTTGTCGAGGATAGGCAGCCTGTGTGTATACTTTAGGCTTGCATGGAGGTTTCCCAAGGTGGAACTACTAACCTTCCCGAGGATACAACCCCCACAACCGTTTACTAACTCCCAAGTACCCAATTACTGCTAGATGAAAAAAAGAGGTGAAAGGAAATTTGCCCAACCATTTCTGGGGCTGCATTTCTATCCCTCCAGGTAGTCGAGAATGCTTTAACTGTACTACAGAAACCAGCATATATTTCCATCCCCAAATACCCACGTTATGTTGAACGAAACTTCATTGTGCACTTGTCTCATGTTTAGCACAAACTGCTACTTTTAGCAGTTTTAGCAAAACTTTTAGTGTTTAGCAAAAAGAGTTAATTTTGGCACTATGCATCCTCGGTTCATAAGAACATAAGAATAAAGGTAACTGCAAAGGGCCTATTAGCCCATACGAGGCAGCTCCTATTTATAACCACCCAACCCCACTCATATACATGTCCAACCCACGTTTGAAACAATCAAGGGACCCCACCTCCACCACGTTACGCGGTAATTGGTTCCACAAATCAACAACCCTGTTACCGAACCAGTATTTACCCAGGTCTTTTTTAAATCTAAACCTATCCAAATTATACATATTGTTTCGTGTTCTGTCTTGTGTTGATACGTTGTTTTAGATTTAACTACTCCGAACGAAATGTCCATGTAGCACGGGCTATGGTGAGCCCGTATATGTGTTGATTTTAATACCCTATTAATATCCCCTTTGTTATGTCCATTCATCTACTTGTAAACCTTTATCATGTCACCCCTAACTCTTTGCCTTTCCAGTGAATGCAATTTAAGCTTTGTTCCAGTTCAATTATGTTTATTGAGACAAGAAAAAAATACATCTCAAAGGGATAAAGTAGCTTAGGCTATTTCAACCCTCTCTAAGGGGCGAGGAGAGGTCATACACTTCTCTTCAGCTGTCCCCACTTCAATGCTCGCCCCAATGGGCATCTTCTCCTGTATCATTGGAATTGGAATTGGTCATACACTCCATTTGGTCACCATTTGGTCCGGGAGACATCTCCCGTCACGCAGGGTGCAGTTGCACCTCCACAGATCTCCAGTATCAGCTATTGATACTGATAATGGCTCAAAAGGGCCACCACTTACGAGCTATTCGTGCCCGTGACACCTCTTGGGTGACTTAATCTTCATCAATCAATCGGTCATACACTCTCTCCTGCTCCCGACACGCTCCGCTTCGGAAGTTAAAAAAGAAACCCACCCTCCTCCCCTTCCTGGGTGCAGTCAGCTGAAACTATGATACAGTCCTATGTCTAGCGCACTTTGCTGATGGTGTAAATGGGGGTACAGCGCCGGCCCCTAAGGGTTACGCTGTCCGCAGCTACTGACCCTCACTTGTACGAGTAATGTTAACCTTGCCCTTTATGTGTATTCTGCATGTACTGGTTAATTTACGAATTTACATTATGTATTGGAAAGGGGCATTATTATCTGTCACGTGTTAGGACAATATATGCTACTCTAAATGCACTAATTCTCAAGGAAAAATATGTTAGACATTTGCCTTACTTAATTTACTCATAGATAATAACTATTCAGTGTTCTGCAGATCTAGATTTAGTTAGTTCCCGGCTATAAGCATATGTATTAATGATATTAAATTGCAGTTATAGTACTCAAAGTTATACATGTTCATGTTACGCAGTTGTAAAATATACAAGTTACAGCCGCTTCATTACATACTGCAGGTATGTTGACGACATTTTTACACAGGTACCTGATGTCAGACATCTGCAGGAGCTGAAGGAGGCATTTGAGCAGAGTTCCGTGCTGCGTTTCACTTACGAGACGGAAAAGGATGGGAAGCTGCCTTTTCTAGATGTAACAGTCATGGAAAAGGGCGGAGGTTTCCACACTGCAGTCTACACTAAGGAAACAAACATAGGAATGTGCCTAAATGCCAACAGCGACTGCCCTGACAGGTACAAGAGGAGTGTTGTTAACGCATACGTCGACCGTGCTCTCAGCCACAGCTCAGAATGGAAGCAAGTCGACGAAGAACTCTGTAGGGTAAGGCAGGTCCTAGTCAATAACGGCTTCTCCAATGGTTTCATCGAAGACATCATAAGAAGGAAAGTGAAAAGCCATGCAACCTCTGAAGAGACAACTAACACAACACCTATACCCCCTATTAGACTATTTTACAGGAACTTCTTTTCCACAGCTCATAAAACGGAGGAAAGGGTCCTGAAAGATATTGTTAATAGAAACGTTATCCCTACAGACAAAAATCAGAGGATACAACTGACGATTTACTATAAAACCAGAAAAACGGCCAGCCTACTCATGAGAAACTCTCCAGACACAAAACAGAACGCTTTAAAAGAGACTAACGTCGTCTATGCCTTCAAATGCCCACTTGGGGACTGTAAGCTCCAAAAAAAAAACAGTATATAGGCAAGACAACAACATCTCTTTCTAGGCGTTTAACGATGTATAAGCAACAGGGCTCCATTAAGGAACATATAATCTCTTCCCATAACCAAACCATCGCCAGAGAAATCCTAGTAAACAACACAGAAATCATCGATAGATACAGCGATAGCAGGCGGCTTGACGTTTGCGAGGCACTACACATCAAGAAGTCAACACCAGCAATCAACAGCCAATTATTGCACAACTATATTCTACCCACCTCAAGACTCCGCTCCAATATAGAAGCATCAAGAAATATGGACCAATAGGCTTTCTACAAACACTTCTATTCAATACCCATTGTTTCTGTTCTGTCTTGTGTTGATACTTTTAATACCCTATTAATATCCCCTCTTGTTCTGTCTTGTGTTAATGCCACATCACCCCTCCCACCTCACTCAAATGTAGATATAAAATCAGAGATACGTAAGTTCTAATCAGTTGTGTATTTGTGAAGTCTTTGAAAATGTAATAAGTTTTACGAAACGCGCCCGTGTCGCGTCAGACTAGAAATAAAAATGAATTTTGGAGAAGTGATTTTTATTTACCTCCAACAGTGAAGCGTAATGTACGAAAGATTGAGAAAATTCGTGTTAGAATTATTAATCTTACTTTTTCGGTCATATTTAATAATATATATATATAAATATATATATATATATATATATATATATATATATATATATATATATATATATATATATATATATATATATATATATATGCAACAATGATCACAAAAAAACACTGATCCAAGTATGCAGAATAACCACATATGAAAAATAGAAAATGCTTAACGCGTTTTCGGCTAATTCGCCTTCATCAGAGCAAAGTAGAAACAATTCTACTTTGCTCTGATGAAGGCGAATTAGCCGAAAACGCGTTAAGCATTTTCTATTTTTCATATGTGGTTATTCTGCATATATATATATATATATATATATATATATATATATATATATTTTATTAAATATGACCGAAAAAGTAAGATTAAGTAAGATAAAAAGTAAGGTTGTTTGTTATCTTTTTATTCTAGCATTGTTGAGGCAGTTGATAGTGGTAAGGATTGCGATGTTGTATACCTTGACTTTAGCAAAGCTTTTGATACAGTGCCACATGAAAGACTGATTAAAAAAATAGAGTCTCATGGTATTGGGGGTGCTATATTAAGCTGGATTAGGGCATGGCTATACCAAAGGAAACAGAGAGTTAGTATAAATGGAATCAAGTCAGAGTGGGAAAATGTTGTAAGTGGAGTGCCTCAAGGCTCTGTCCTGGGACCTCTGTTGTTTATAATATATATAAATGATTTAGATTCAGGTTTGAGTAGCAACATTTGCAAATTTGCCGATGATACGAAAATCGGTAGGGAAATTAATTCGGAGGAGGACTCACTATCACTTCAAGTTGATCTAGATAGGATTTTGAAATGGTCAAAGGATTGGCAGATGCAGTTTAATGCTGATAAATGTAAAGTTCTGAGGTTAGGTAATGATGATAGAGTTACAAGATACGAGCTAGATGGTGTTGTGATTGCGAAGTCGGATTGCGAAAGGGATCTGGGAGTTATGATTAGTAAGAATTTAAAACAAAAGGATCAATGCATAAATGTTCGTAATAAGGCAAATCGGACACTTGGATTTATTAATCGCAGCGTTAGTAACAAGACACCTGGTGTGGTTCTCAAGCTATATCTTGCTCTAGTTAGGCCCCATTTAGATTATGCAGTTCAGTTTTGGTCGCCATATTATAGAATGGATATAAATTCACTTGAACGTGTCCAGCGTAGGATGACTAAGTTAATTCCCCAAATTAGAAATCTTTCATATGAAGAAAGATTAACAAAGCTTAAGTTGCATTCACTGGAAAGGCGAAGAGTTAGGGGTGACATGATAGAGGTTTACAAGTGGATGAATGGACATAACCGGGGGGATATTAATAGGGTATTAAAAGTATCAACACAGGACAGAACACGAAACAATGGGTATAAATTGGATAAGTTTAGATTTAGGAAAGACTTGGGTAAATACTGGTTCAGTAACAGGGTTGTTGATTTGTGGAACCAATTGCCGCGTAACATTGTGGAGGTGGGGTCCCTCGATTGTTTCAAGCACTTAATAATTCTAACACGAATTTTCTCAATCTTTCGTACATTATGCTTCACTGTTGGAGGTAAATCAAAAATCACTTCTCCAAAATTCATTTTTATTTCTAGTCTGACGCGACACGGGCGCGTTTCGTAAAACTTATTACATTTTCAAAGACTTCACAAATACACAACTGATTAGAACTTGCGTTTCCCTGATTTTATATCTACATTTGAGTGAGGTGGGAAGGGTGATGTGGCATTACATTTGAGTAAGGTGGGAAGGATGATGTGGCATTAGAGGATATTAATAGGGTATTAAAAGTATCAACACAAGACAGAACACGAAACAATGGATATTGAATAGAAGTGTTTGTAGAAAGCCTATTGGTCCATATTTCTTGATGCTTCTATATTGGAGCGGAGTCTTGAGGTGGGTAGAATATAGTTGTGCAATAATTGGCTGTTGATTGCTGGTGTTGACTTCTTGATGTGTAGTGCCTCGCAAACGTCTAGCCGCCTGCTATCGCTGTATCTATCGATGATTTCTGTGTTGTTTACTAGGATTTCTCTGGCGATGGTTTGGTTATGGGAAGAGATTATATGTTCCTTAATGGAGCCCTGTTGTTTATGCATCGTTAAACGCCTAGAAAGAGATGTTGTTGTCTTGCCTATATACTGGGTTTTTTGGAGCTTACAGTCCCCAAGTGGGCATTTGAAGGCATAGACGACGTTAGTCTCTTTTAAAGCGTTCTGTTTCGTGTCTGGAGAGTTTCTCATGAGTAGGCTGGCCGTTTTTCTGGTTTTATAGTAAATCGTCAGTTGTATCCTCTGATTTTTGTCTGTAGGGATAACGTTTCTATTAACAATATCTTTCAGGACCCTTTCCTCTGTTTTATGAGCTGTGGAAAAGAAGTTCCTGTAAAATAGTCTAATAGGGGGTATAGGTGTTGTGTTAGTTGTCTCTTCGGAGGTTGCATGGCTTTTCACTTTCCTTCTTATGATGTCTTCGATGAAACCATTGGAGAAGCCGTTATTGACTAGAACCTGCCTTACCCTACAGAGTTCTTCGTCGACTTGCTTCCATTCTGAGCTGTGGCTGAGAGCACGGTCGACGTATGCGTTAACAACACTCCTCTTGTACCTGTCAGGGCAGTCGCTGTTGGCATTTAGGCACATTCCTATGTTTGTTTCCTTTGTGTAGACTGCAGTGTGGAAACCTCCGCCCTTTTCCATGACTGTTACATCTAGAAAAGGCAGCTTCCCATCCTTTTCCGTCTCGTAAGTGAAACGCAGCACGGAACTCTGCTCAAATGCCTCCTTCAGCTCCTGCAGATGTCTGACATCAGGTACCTGTGTAAAAATGTCGTCAACATACCTGCAGTATATGGCCGGTTTCAAGTTCATGTCGACTAAGACTTTTTGCTCGATGGTACCCATGTAGAAGTTTGCAAACAGGACACCTAGGGGAGAACCCATAGCGACCCCATCTACTTGCTTATACATGTGCCCATCCGGGCTCAAGAAGGGTGCCTCTTTAGTACAAGCTTGGAGTAGTTTCCTCAGAATACTTTCTGGCATGTCAAGAGGAGTACAGGCTGGATCACGATACACTCTGTCGGCTATCATTCCGATTGTCTCGTCCACAGGTACGTTGGTAAACAGCGATTCTACGTCCAACGAGGCTCTTATCCCTGTGGCCCGTGCGCCCCGCAGTAAGTCCACAAATTCCTTTGGAGACTTCAGGCTGAAGGCGCAAGGAACATAAGGAGTCAGCAGGCCGTTGAGTCGCTTCGCCAATCTGTACGTGGGTGTGGGTATCTGGCTAATGATTGGCCGAAGTGGGTTTCCAGGCTTGTGCGTCTTGACATTTCCATACGCATATCCAGGTTTATATTCCCCAATGATCTTTGGCAGGTGGAGTCCGGATTTCTTGGCGTTCACAGTTTCGATCAGTTTGTTGACCTTTGCTTTTAATTCGGCTGTAGTGTCCTTCGTTACCCTTTGGAACTTAGTTTGGTCAGAGAGTATGATGTTCATTTTCGCCAGATATTCGTCTTTTTTAAGAATGACATATATTGGCGACTTGTCACCTCTCCTGACAACTATCTCCTTGTTCTCACGAAGGCTTTTAGCTGCCGCTCTAAGCTCGGGGGACAGTATGGTGCTTCTGTAGTTGCCTCGATTCTTTCCTCCTTCTGCAATAAGTTCTGCTTGTAAGGTATCTTTGGTAGTGACCTTCTTTTGTGTCTCGAGGTCGAATATGTCGTCCAACAGAATTTCCAACTCCACTTTCCGGGCCATTTCACTCGGTCTGGACATAACATGACAGTTTATGCCCAGATTTAGGAGAGTGACTTGGTCCTCAGTGAGGTTAATTCCTGCAAGGTTCAGGAAGCCATCTCTTGGTCGTGGAATTGCCATAGGTCCTCCATATAATGTCCACAGGGATAAGAGCCTCGTTGGACGTAGAATCGCTGTTTACCAACGTACCTGTGGACGAGACAATCGGAATGATAGCCGACAGAGTGTATCGTGATCCAGCCTGTACTCCTCTTGACATGCCAGAAAGTATTCTGAGGAAACTACTTCAAGCTTGTACTAAAGAGGCACCCTTCTTGAGCCCGGATGGGCACATGTATAAGCAAGTAGATGGGGTCGCTATGGGTTCTCCCCTAGGTGTCCTGTTTGCAAACTTCTACATGGGTACCATCGAGCAAAAAGTCTTAGTCGACATGAACTTGAAACCGGCCATATACTGCAGGTATGTTGACGACATTTTTACACAGGTACCTGATGTCAGACATCTGCAGGAGCTGAAGGAGGCATTTGAGCAGAGTTCCGTGCTGCGTTTCACTTACGAGACGGAAAAGGATGGGAAGCTGCCTTTTCTAGATGTAACAGTCATGGAAAAGGGCGGAGGTTTCCACACTGCAGTCTACACAAAGGAAACAAACATAGGAATGTGCCTAAATGCCAACAGCGACTGCCCTGACAGGTACAAGAGGAGTGTTGTTAACGCATACGTCGACCGTGCTCTCAGCCACAGCTCAGAATGGAAGCAAGTCGACGAAGAACTCTGTAGGGTAAGGCAGGTTCTAGTCAATAACGGCTTCTCCAATGGTTTCATCGAAGACATCATAAGAAGGAAAGTGAAAAGCCATGCAACCTCCGAAGAGACAACTAACACAACACCTATACCCCCTATTAGACTATTTTACAGGAACTTCTTTTCCACAGCTCATAAAACAGAGGAAAGGGTCCTGAAAGATATTGTTAATAGAAACGTTATCCCTACAGACAAAAATCAGAGGATACAACTGACGATTTACTATAAAACCAGAAAAACGGCCAGCCTACTCATGAGAAACTCTCCAGACACGAAACAGAACGCTTTAAAAGAGACTAACGTCGTCTATGCCTTCAAATGCCCACTTGGGGACTGTAAGCTCCAAAAAACCCAGTATATAGGCAAGACAACAACATCTCTTTCTAGGCGTTTAACGATGCATAAACAACAGGGCTCCATTAAGGAACATATAATCTCTTCCCATAACCAAACCATCGCCAGAGAAATCCTAGTAAACAACACAGAAATCATCGATAGATACAGCGATAGCAGGCGGCTAGACGTTTGCGAGGCACTACACATCAAGAAGTCAACACCAGCAATCAACAGCCAATTATTGCACAACTATATTCTACCCACCTCAAGACTCCGCTCCAATATAGAAGCATCAAGAAATATGGACCAATAGGCTTTCTACAAACACTTCTATTCAATATCCATTGTTTCGTGTTCTGTCTTGTGTTGATACTTTTAATACCCTATTAATATCCTCTAATGCCACATCATCCTTCCCACCTTACTCAAATGTAATGCCACATCACCCTTCCCACCTCACTCAAATGTAGATATAAAATCAGGGAAACGCAAGTTCTAATCAGTTGTGTATTTGTGAAGTCTTTGAAAATGTAATAAGTTTTACGAAACGCGCCCGTGTCGCGTCAGACTAGAAATAAAAATGAATTTTGGAGAAGTGATTTTTGATTTACCTCCAACAGTGAAGCATAATGTACGAAAGATTGAGAAAATTCGTGTTAGAATTATTAATCTTACTTTTTCGGTCATATTTAATAAAATATGTCTACAGGAAAGACTGCTACCAAAATATACTAATATATATATATATATATATATATATATATATATATAATAGCAAATATAACGATATAAACAAGAGTAAGTGAAGTTTAGTTTATTTTACATTTCTTTTTTTTTTTATTTTGTCCCGAGGGGCGATTTATTGGACAATTTCAATTCAATCCAATTCAATTCAATATTTATTCAGGTAAAGTACACACAAACAAGGTAAGATACAAAAAGTTGATGGATTGATAGATAGAGCTAGTACATACAATGCCTAAAGCCACTATTACGCAAAGCGTTTCGGGCAGATTTATATAAACCGATATTAGTTTCTTTTTAGTTTAGTTCATTTATTATGCACCCCATACCCATCTTGTGGGCGGTAGTGGACAGGGTTACAGAGGCACATAATGGGCTCAGGGACTGAACCCCACAATTCATTTAGCTAAGCAAGTTACATTACAAGTTACGATATTAGAGGATCCTGATTTCTGGAGGACGGGTCAAGTATGGTCCAAAAAGAGCAAAGGTTTTACTATTTCAACGTCATTACTGCACTTTTGTTTTAACTAGCTAATTCTAAGGTATGTTATCGTAAGGTATCTTAACCTAACTGACCGTAAACAATGCTACCTTAACAAGTGCTAAAGTATCAACCATAAGGTAGAGATAAACAGAGATAACTGTTGGTGTAAACAACATTGTGTGGGAGGAGGAGGAGGTGTGTGACGTCACAGTGGAGGCTGCTGGGGTGAATGGTGGACCCGAGAGTAAAGTTGTCAGTCACCGGCTGACGTACACCATAACACTTCAGCTGGCAGCCTCTCACTCCTCAGGTAAACTCTCTCTCTCTTGCTCTCCTTCCTCAGGTAAACTCTCGCTCTTGCTCTCCCTCCTCAGGTAAACTCTCGCTCTCTTGCTCTCCCTCCATCAAGCTTGAGAGTGATGCCTCACTCTCCACAGTGTACAGTGAGGTGATCAAGTGTGGCCGCGGCGGTGTATAGTGAGGCGTGTGGTGGTCCTGGTCACCATCACCCCTCCACACTCACACACGGGGGTAAACTGTTGTAGTTGTAAGGGGGATAAACTGTAGTTGTAGGGGGTGTACTGCTGCAGTTGTAGGGGGTGTACTGCTGCAGTTGTAGGGGGTAAACTGTTGCAGTTGTAGGGGGTAAACTGTTGCAGTTATAGGGGGTAAACTGTTGCAGTTGTAGGGGGTAAACTGCTGCAGTTGTAGGGGGTAAATCGCTGCAGTTGTAGGAGGTAAACCGCTGTAGGGGTAAACTGCAGCCTTTCCACTTAACTCATGCCCTCTTAGTTCTGGGACTAGTCTAGTGGCATACCTCTGAACTTTTTCCAGCTTCTGGAAAATACTCAAATTGTATGACGGTTGAGACAACCGATCACAGGCCAAGAAGGCAACGAATACTTCGTCTTGTGCTTGACAAGGTACGGGCTCCATGCTGGGGCCGCATACTCCAGGATTGGTCTTACATATGTGGTGTATAAGGTTCTGAATGATTCCTTACACAGGTTCCTGAAAGCAGCTCTGATGTTAGCCAGCCTCGCATATGTTGCAGTTGTTATTCTTGTTATGTGGGCTTCAGGAGATAGGCTTGGTGTGATATCAGCTCCTAGATCTTTCTCTCTGTCCATTTCATGAACGACTTCTTCTCCCATTCGGGAGTGTGTGTAATAATAATAATAATAATAATAATAATAATAATAATATTTCATTTAGGAAAAGTACATACATAGATGCAGAGTTACAAACATACTGTTGGATTTATAGATAGAGCTAGTACATACAATACCTAAAGCCACTAATACGCATAGCATTTCGGGCAAGGTGTGGATGAAAAACACTTAGACTAAAACTTAATAGTAATTGGGAGTAAAGTTTAAATTGTATTGAATAAAAAGGAATAAAAAAGAAGAAAAAGAAGGGGGAGGGGGTGTAGTTGTGGCAGACTATACATCATACAGTTCTCCAATTGCTGCCTTGCACGTTCACCATCTCTTACTGTTGTTTTAATGGTCTGCTTCCTCTCTTGACTCTTTAACTACTTCAGCAAATGTTGTCTGATCTTGTACCCTATTTATCAGTCACACTCTAAATTTTCCTGAGGGCCATTAATACTAGTGGCCTTAACGAGGACAAGAAGCCAGCAGCTTGTCAAAGGTCCTCTCATTTGCCCTGATGATTTTTTCCAGCTGATTTTTTTTTTTGAGATATATACAAGAGTTGTTACATTTTTGTACAGCCACTAGTACGCGTAGCGTTTCGGGCAGGTTCCTGGAATACAATCCTCTGCCGCGAAGAATCGTTTTTTCATCCAAGTACACATTTTACTGTTGCGTTAAACAGAGGCTACAGTTAAGGAATTGCGCCCAGTAAATCCTCCCCGGCCAGGATACGAATCCATGACATAGCACTCGCGGAACGCCAGGCGAGTGTCTTACCACTACACCACGGAGACTGTTAAAATTTAAGACAGTTTTAGCATTGGCGGCTTTGGCGGGTATGTGATTCCATGAATTTATAACCCTGTGGGTGAAAAGCTTCTCCTGTTTGCAGTCCTACATTGTGGCTTGTTGAGTTTGAAACTGTTGTTCCTTGTTTATGTTACATCTGAGCTTTTGAAGAAATTGTTTCGATCAATATCCTCCAAATTTAGTATTTTAAGTTTCGTTGAGATTAACCCTATCATACCTTAACGAGGACAAGAAGCGTGGGTTGTTTCATGTATATGAGTGAGATTGGGTGGTTATAAATAGGAGCTGCCTCGTATGGGCCAATAGACCTTCTGCAGTTGCCTTTGTTCTTATGTTCTTATACCTGGTTTACAATGTTGTTAGCCCCTGAGGCCCTCAGCCGTTCTTGGTATGAGAGATAACCTTGTTCTGGAATGATTTTTGTTGCTCGGTGTTGAACTTTCTCCAGAGCAGCTGTGTCCTACTGTAGAGGGTCTCCATGCTTGGATACAGTATTCCAAGTGGGGGTTGCCTGGTCAACCAAGCCTGGTTGATCAGACCATCAACCAGGAGGCCTGGTCAGAGACCGGAGTACAGGAATGTTGATACCAGAAATCAAGGCAAGATAATCACAAGGGGTATGCAGTTTGTTACTTGCCTCTCTACTCCCCTAGTTACTTATTAGTGACATCGTTGCACAAGATCTGATAGGTAATCACAATTGTTGTACTGCAGTATAATCCTGTTGGTGATATTTATTTTTTCTTGGACTGTGCACTGGTATATGCAGTACATTATATACTGTATATTTCTTAAGCTTGTATAATAAACTGGTGTTTATAGTTACATATTAAAGATTTATTAAAGTAAGGATTTTTTATTGCTCAACTTGCAAATCCTGAAAATGGATATTTTTGTTCCCACAGGAATTTACAAAAGGATGAATAAATGTGTGTTAGTAACACGTGTTATGTGTAGAGAAAGAAAACTATTTAAAAATGCACATTTCCATACCAGAGGCTTTTATAGAACATTTCTATTCAAATCTTTGAGTTCGTCAATAAAAGTTAATTGGCTTTACTCTCAAAAATCTTGGAAGGCTGAAGATACGATGATTCCTTCCTTTACCTCCCATCATAAGTTCCTCGGTCATGTTTGCAGGTTAGTTGTACTGTAATGTAAAGAAGCTCAAGGTCTTCAGCTCCTGTTATAAGTTTTAACCATCTATTATTTTATCAGCAATTTTGCAATACAGTAATTGCTAGCTAAATTGTATTAAGCTATTTTATTAATACTATTAGTTAAATGTTTGGTAAATAATTATATTTCCCTGAACCTGGCCTGCGTGTCTCTTATAAAATGTTATATGGTGTACAGTATCAATGGTCATCCCATTATTAATTATTAATTTTGTCCTTATAACTACAGTATAATTGCAAAATAAGAATTACTAGGATAAATGACAATTCTAAATGGACACAGTAGGCTTAAGATGTATAATCATCTGTTTTTATTTATAATTTTTTTTTATTTAGCCTGTTTTGAATAATATTTAAATTTTGGAGTACAATGTGACCTTGCTGGAATGAACTACAGTACTGTACTGTATTAAAGTGATTCTGAAGTTGAAAAAAGTAGCATAGGCTCATTGTGCAATGTCCTTTATGTGGTCCTCTGGTGACAATTTAGTGTCCAGAACTACCCCAAAGTCTTTATCAATATTCTTTCAACATGTTTTCATGTAATTTGAAGGCTGTGTGGGGCCTATATTCTCCTATTTCACATTCCATAACATGTCATTTATTTATACTGAATTCCAGCTGCCTGGAATTCAATGTTTTTCTCCATTAACTTATTTTGTCCAGGTCATCTTGAAGGGCATGACATTCATTTAGTCAACTATTCTTCCTAGTAGCTTAGCATCAGCAGCAAACATTCATTCAACTCATGTTTCACTTATGGTAGATAGTTTATATAGACAATAAACATTACAGGTGCTAGTACTCATCCCTGTGGTAATCTGCTAGTAATATTTCTCCTGTCTGATCACTGTCCTAATTTTCTGACAAAATTTTTCATCCATGTGAGAAATCTGCCTGTCACTCCTTGAGCTTGCTCCAAATTCCAGAAGATACTCGTGTGTGGGAATACAATATCTTCTTTTTTTTTATATTCAGTTTATTGCAGTCAGTTCGACCCCCTTTTTTCCTGTATAATCTCTGTGGCTCTACCATAAAAACTAATTAGATTTGTTAAACAGGACCTTCCTGTTCGAAAGTCATACTGTGTTATTTCTTTTAGGTGGTTTTCCCATTTGGTTTATTTTTTTTCTAGTGATTTAACTAAAGGCCTTGTCAACAAATACAAGTCTATAATTTAGAGGGTCTTCTCTACTACCAGTTTTTTAGATTGGAACTATGTTTGTCTTTTCTCATATGCTGTACTCTATCGGCTAGGTCTCTTGTGCAATGCCAGAAAAATATGTTCTAGTGGAATGCTCAGCTCAAGTGCACATTCCCTCAGAACCCAATGTGAGACTTCACCTGGGCAAACTGCTTTGCTCCTTTTTAGTTCATTAAGCAGTTTTTCTATTCTGTCTTTAGACACTTCCATGTACAGTATTGTTCTTTGAAATCCATATTGTCTGGCTCTCTGAAAACCTCACTTTGCACAAACACATTTTGGAACTGTCCATTTAGTGTTTCACATATTTCCTTTTTATTCATTGTGAATCTGTTCCCTCGTTTTCAAACCCCGGATTTCATCCTTTAGTGTACAAGCAACTTGCTTTAATGAATTTATAGAATAGGTCTGGTTCTGTTTTACATTTGTCTGCTACCCCTTTCTCGAAGTTATTTTGTGTCTCCTCACTGCCATGTAGTTGTTTCTTGCTCATTTGTATTATTGTACAGTGGGGCCTCGATTTACGATGGTAATCCGTTCCCAGAGATGAATCTTAATTTGAAATATCGTAAGTCGAAACGATTTTTCCCATAAGAAATAAAGAGAATTGAATTTAATCCGTTCCACACCCTCAAAAATATTAACTTAAAAATTCATTTTATACTGAATACAATATTTTTTATCTAATTACAATACAGTACATATGTTTATCTTACCTTTATGGAGGACTCCTCGTACCTCTCTGAGGGGAGCCATGTTCTGGCTCGTGGCCCCCAGTAGGCCTAGGAGCTCCATTCACATGACTGATGCCAAAGTCTAATGTATCCATAACAGCTTGGATAGCGCCGGGGAGCTGAAGGGGCTCCCCCCAGAAAACTTTGTAAAATTCTTGACATATAGCAATGTGAGAATTGGCAAAATGGATGTATCTCTCATATATTAGATCTCTAATCGATTATGATGCACCCATGTTTGTTCTAGTGCCTGAGAGAATGCTTGGAGGGCTGGAAAAGATGCAAAACGAAAACATGAGGATTATCCTTGGATGCCCCCCCTTTGCAACTAAATTACTAAACATGAGGAAGGAACTGAATATTTCATGTGTAAGTGATCGTATCATTGAAATTAATGCTTTAATTGGTATCAAGATTATTTGGTAACCACTGCACTGAAGCTCTCCAAGCCTTCTTTCTTGATGGTCTGCATCCCTCCAAATGGATTACCAAAACCGCCACTGTGCTCAGAATGTACAATATTAGAGACAACAACGACACTTTCCTGCCCTATGGGAGATCACACCTTTCCAAATTACTGTTTCCCCATTCCCACCCAAGAAGCTGATTAAAGAACAAGCTTTGCTTCGACAAGAAGCAAAGTACAATATCTTAGGCCAAATTGATGCATTGGTCAAAGAGCGCTCCCTTTCCCAAATTATTTACATTGATGGTTCCTTGCACCAGTCGTATGGTGCAGCTGGAAGTGCAGTTGTTGTGACAGCGAGAGATGGCTCCTTCTCCTGAGTGTGGAATGCGTATAAATAACTGGGTCTCCCCTCTTCAAACAGAAATGGTTGACATAATCCTTGCACTTGAGCACGTATATGAATCCAAAGTTGACACGCTGATTGTAAGTACTGTACCTCCTTGTCATCCTTGACTGCCCTCAGCTCCCTAAGGCTTATATAACTGTGACATGCTTGCCTCTGTAGCTAGACACAGATACTGTATGGTGAAATAATCAGTGATGGAGTCAGAGTTTGTCTCCTGTGGATTTCTTCCCATATTGGTCTCCGAATGCATGATAGAACTGATGCGTTAGCCAAGACATTTGCTCATAAAGAGGGAATTGATTACCATCTTGAACTGCCTTTGAGCAGCCTGAGGGCAGTAATGTTCCGGGAACATCAAGAAAATCCTGTAGACTTGAGACAAAATGAAATTCACACCAGTTGCTCCATAGTTGACTAAATGTAAACTCTGTCAGCAGAACTACTTGCATCATTATATAATAGAATGTGAAAAAATCATGGAATTCAGAGATAACTCCATCAATGGATTTCAAGAAATGTGTAAGTACTTCATTCATAATGATGTACTGTCAGGAATTTTAGCGAAGTATCCAAAATTTGCTTACTGTAGGTAATGCATGCACATGACTGTAAAGTTGCCGCCCAGTTGGGTGGGTGTGGAGTAAGACTAGTAACTGTGACTCACCAAAGATGTAAAGTACCTTGTATAGTGACTGTTGTGAGCCTCTTGTTGAATCACTTGTGATATAAAAAGATTATCGATGTGTACTGTATATGTATAAATGATTGTATATATATATGTACATGTATGTATAACATTAACAATTGTGTAACTAGCTTCAAAAGATTCATTTGCTTAATTAAATGAACTATGGGGTTCAGTTCCTGAACCCATTATGTGCCTCTGTAACCTTTTCCACTACCGTCCACATGATGGGTATGGGTTGCATAATAAAGAAAGAATCAAATCAGCAAGTGTAATATGACAATAATGAATCTTCATCACTAGAAATGCTCAATAGTACAGTTTGTGTGCTTTGTGAAGTATTCTCATTGGCCAAAAGGAAATGGCATATTCTATTATATTTTTTGTCATATGGTTACTGAAATTGGGCTCTGACATGAAACCAAGGCACACAAGTCTGCAAGAAAAATTGGGCCAAATTTTTAACATAAATAATGGAAAAGAGAAATAAATGTAGGATCAGATGTCACCCAATGTGACGGTACAAAACATAGTACTGTACAGGTATTTATACTTTTTTGCAACTCATATTGACACATATCTAAATGTTTTTATGTACAATTCTGTACTTTGTGTAAAATAGCAAAACGTGAACTTCAGATGTAAGTGAATGGTGGTTATAGAAGGGTGTAGTAGTAATTGGTGTTGGAGTGGGGGAGTAGTGTATATATTTAGTGAAGATAATGACAAATGCACAAGGGAGAGAAGGGGCTTGTATTTGATCCCTACTCTCTCCCTGGGAGACAGTACTGAATAATATTAGTAAAATACTGTACTAATACTGTACAGCACTAGTACTGTGTACAAATTGAGTTCCATAAATTGAGACTTTTAATGTATTTAGTTATTAAATTTTCTAAATTTAATAGTACCTGTAAAAGTATGGAACTGTATATGTTTGTATAATTAAATATATTTGTTTCAAGAGTTCTGATGATGTTTTTCTTATCTGCAGATTATCCAGTATGGGTTCCCAACATGAACTGCCGTTAGACACACCTATACTATATCTGAAGAGTGAAGAAGCATTTGCTGGTCTTACTTCCCGTGAACGACACTACGCACATCATTTGTCCAGGGCATCATGGTGGGGTGGCTTTATTGTGTTATGTCAGACATCTCCTGAGAGCCCTACTATATTCAACTTGCTGACTCGACTCTTCCGTTCACAGCCAATTGATACACTAAAGGAAGTAGCTATGGGAAAAGCAGGATTTACAGAAGACGAGTTTAAATTACTTGTCATTTACTATTCTGGTATAGCATATAACATGGGGAACTATTTAGGTTTTGGTGACAGGAAGTTTATTCCAAGCGTGAGCCGAGAGAAACTGGAAGCTCTGATTAAGGCTTCTAAAGCATATCTTGAAGCGCCAGATATAATTGAAGATTATATGAAAAAGTGTTTAGAACCTATGTACAATTTAGAGGAATGCAAGAAGTTTCTTGGTATGCCCACCAGTGGAGTGACAATGTATTTCACACCTAACTGTACTCAAGATGATGCTGATATTGCCAAAGAGTACATGGCTGCAAGAAATATTGAACCGTGGAATAATCGCTTGCTTAAGTATGAAGAAAATGGTCAAACTTTGTATGACATACGTTTAGCATCTATTGAACAAGGACCTGCTGCAGATATTACTATTGACAGTGATGAATTTCAGGGTCACAAGTTCCGTGTAAGCAGAGGAGATTACTCTTTCTTTCTTAAAAAGATGACTGAAGAGCTCCAGCTGGCCAAAGATTATACTGCTAATGATCTTGAAGTGCAGATGCTTGACAAATATATTGAGAGCTTTACCACTGGATCAATAAAAGCTCACAAGGAAGGATCTACCTTTTGGGTGAAGAATAAATCTCCTGCAGTTGAAACATACATGGGATTCATTGAAGTGTACAGAGACCCAGTAAATCAGCGTGCAGAGTTCGAGTCCTTTGTTGCAGTTGTGAACAGAGAACAGTCCCGGAAATTTGATACTCTGGTAAGTCGAGCTGAAAAAGAGTTCTTGCCTCTTCTTCCCTGGGGTAAAGATTTTGAAGAGGATGTATTCATGCGACCTGATTTTTCTTCATTAGATATTTTAACTTTTGCTTCTTCTGGGCTGCCTATTGGCATAAACATACCAAATTACAAAGATGTTAAAGAAGAACAAGGCTTCAAGAATGTTAGCTTAACAAATGTCATGGCTGCTCGTACTGGTATAAAAGGTGGTCCTTTTCTGTCCGAGGCTGATCATGCCTTGATTGAAAAACATGGAGCATTAGGACTAGAAATCCAAGTTGGTTTACACGAACTGTTGGGACATGGCTGTGGCAAGTTTCTTCGTCGCAAAGATGATGGATCTCTGAATTTCGACTCTACCAAAATTAAAAACCCTTTCACAGGGGGTGAAGCAATGTTTTATGAAAAGGGGGAAACATACAATTCACATTTCACTAACCTTGCTAGTGCTTATGAAGAATGTAGAGCTGAAACTGTAGCTCTATATTTGGGACATGTTGATGATATTCTTGACATCTTCGGAGTCGCTGCTGAAAGCCGTGAGGACTTGAAATATGTTTCGTGGTTGGACATGATGTATGCAGGACTAAGAGGTTTAGAAATGTATCAGCCAAGTCAAGGCAAGTGGGGACAAGCTCATTCTCAAGCCCGGTATGTGATCTTGCGGGTGGCTTTAGAGGCTGGACAGGGTTTGGTTAACATCACCGAGACGAAAGGTAATGATGGCCTTCCTGATTTACTACTTACCCTTGACAAGACTAAAATTCATACGGTTGGCAAACAGGCAATGGGGAATTTCCTCCGGAAGCTGCAGATATACCGTTCAATGGGCGATTCAGACTCGGGCCGAGCTATGTTTGAAAAGTATTCTGAGGTACCGTCAGATGGACCATTTCCATTTGGTAAGTGGCACGAGATTGTAGTGAGGAAACGCAGGCCCCGTATGATTTTAGCCATGCCCAACACTCGTGTTGTAGGAGAGGATGTTGAACTTGTATCATATCCTGAAGCAGTAGATTGTGTAGCAAAGTCTTGGGTTGATCGCTTCTCCTCAGAAGATTATGAGGCTTTAGAATCTGCTTTGTCCACTTTTGTTTGAGGGTACTGTACTGTTATTTATGTACAATACTTTATCTCAGTCTTTGATGAAAAATCCTCCTTTCGTTGAGTGCTTACATGGAGAATGTCAATGCTGTGGGGTACTAGGAAGTTACTGATTTGAATGTCATATTTTAATATAAAAATTATTTTGTATTTTTTATACATACTGTACTGTAAAGTTTTGCATTAGGTGAAATTGAAAATCCACATGTTCCTACACATTTTGCAGACTTTACAATATTATATACACACGTTTTCCTCACCTAGTTATTTCAATAATGTTTAGACTGGACAATTTTAATAAAACTGTTTAATGCCATTTAATAAATTTTTATGATAATTAAATTACATTTACTGTTTTCTCTTCCCTTGACACAGCTTGTTATAAACATCATAGGAATGGATGTCCGGATGAATGGAATTGGTATCATTGCTAGAGAAAGGATATTTTGTGTGTTTTTCTCAGATAAAGAACAGTTGGGAGGGATGAGAAAGCAGTGTATGATGTGAAAGTGGAGTATGTATAGCGACAGAATGAGGAGTGGTATTTTGTGATATAATTGGCATGGTTCAACAAGTTGTCAGTTGGAAAGGGTGAAGGCAACTTCTGCAATGGTTTATGCTGGTGAGGTGAGTATAAAAAAAATATTTTTGGATAGTTTAGAGTATGAGTGATAAAAATGTGGATGTTAAATATTCACTACCATATGGTATCAGATATGTTTAAACTATACCACACAGCATATTAAAACACTATAAATATGGATAAAATCTCTATTAGTATTATGGAACTCATTTACATTGAGCTGCTAAACACCACAAATGATATGGTGGAAGTGATGATCAAAATAGAGATCCTAAATGTAGTGATTATCCTTGTATACAAGTCACCAGAGGGACTTCCTCGACAGTCTAATGACCAACTAACAAAAATAGAATACTGTTCAGGAAACCTTATAAGCCCAGCCTCAATCATCAACCAGCGTGGGGATTTCAACCTGTGGCACTTCAACTGAAAGAATGTGGGAAATAGTTACAGTACATATGAGAGAATCACAAGAAGTACCTAAATAAAGTTGTGCACAAATTACTTCTTAGGAATGGGTGACGGATTTGCCTAAAACCAGCAAATAGTGGAACCAACTATAAAAGAAAACACCCTAAATCTTATTTCTGAAGAGAGTCCTGTCGGCTCCCTGGAGTTATCGGCCTAATATTAGCTATACTGTATTAGTCTGGGGCTTCAGTCATAGGAGTTCTTTGCCTACTTGAAACCATAAGCCAGAACCTGGTTGCCTCAGAGGCACAGGGAGCAATGGCCTATGAAATTTCCACTCTTTGAGAGTATATTCATGTCTGCCATCGACCAGGGTAAGGCACCCAGAAAGGTAGGCACCCCAAAACAGACCCCATCTGGTAGAAAATTGCAACCCAAGACTGAACGGAGCCTCAGAACTCCCTTCAAGAAAAACAAGGTAATAAGATAATCGTCATCAACCCAACATGCTGCTCGTTTGCTGGCCCCCCTTCCCCGTGAGGGGGAGAGAGAGGCCTCCACTCCATCAAAATGACCGCTAGATCGCCAATTCGTTGACTGAAGCCGGCTGGCGCTGACGTCCACTCTGGTTGCCATTTCCTGTCAGGATTTTGCCACAAGTGGTTGTACCTGTTGTGTGTTGTGGTGTTGGCCAGGAGTACCAGTACTTCGGGATGCATGTCCTTAGGGCTATCTTCCCTAGGCGCCCTGTAAGTACAGTACAGCATGCCCTGGTTAGGGAGTGTTTGTTGCTGGTTGGGGTACGTGGTGCTGCTTAGCTCGCATACAAGCGGCGGCTGTGACTTTCTGGCTTCCTGTTTTTGTGGAGCACTTTCAGGGTTCTTTTCATACTTTTTAGATTCTTTCCTGTGGTATATAGACGAGGTTCAACAGGCTTTGCAGCACCAGTGCCTGGGTTTCCCGTAGGGACGCCTCCCCCTGCGGGCCCTGGAAACCCCCCGTCGGGGCTCGGGTGACCATGGATATGTCTTCTGAGTCACATCTTGCCTTGTGTGTGTTTGAGGGTTGTTAGTTGCTCTTGTCTGAGGGTGACGATCATGACGATCTGTTTTGCCTCCGTCATGCTGCTTGTTGGGTTGACGACACTTTGATCCGGAATCGTGCGAGACTTGTTTCCCGCTCTTTATCCAATTCAGCTATTCTTCTTCGGGAGATGTTAGGGGTCAAGTGGTTTTCACGTTACATGCTGGTTTAGGTTGTTGCATCACGCTAGGTTAGTTGTCCGCTCAAATGTTCCGGGGATGCTCCGTCTTCAGTGTTCAGTATTTCAAACAGTTGGTCTGTTTTAGGGTGTCTACCTTTCTGGGTGCCTAACCTTGGTCGATGGCAGACATGAATATACTCTCAAAGAGTGGAGTTTTCATAGGCTATTGCTCCCTGTGCCTCTCTGGCCTCTCTGAGGGAACCCGGTTCTGGCTCCCGGTAGGCATAGAACACTTACGACTGAAGCCCCAGACTAATATAGCTAATATCAGTTCGAAAGCTCCAGGAAGCCTCCGGGGCTCACCCAGAAAATGGCATTTCATTACATTCAATGCTGTTTTTTACAATGATGAACAGGTTAAGAACAATGATTACAAATACTGAGCACATTAATCAAAGTTCAGACAAGCATGGACAATAGAGTTCACAGCAGTATCAAATCAAGAGGAGAATTAAGAAAATTCAATTTTAATACTGTACTGTAATAAACTGATTGACTGGGAATTAATAAACCAATACCTCTCAGAAATAAGCTTGGAAGAACAGCTAGATTATGTAGACCTTAATCAGTGCCTCGAGAAAATAGGCTCGGTAGCATGAGAAATACAGTATGCCCAAGCCACAGACCACTAAGAAAGGAGAAAAACATGCGAATAAAAATGATAATGATGGTTTCCTCTACAGTGTGAAGAACAAATTGCAGAACAACTTTTTAACACCACCCTATCCCAAGAATGACAAGGAAGACTATATCGAGAAACAAATGATAACGCTAAAGCTACAAGACTTGCATAAATTCCAGGAGAGGCAAAGCTCAAGTTCAGGTACGTTTATTGAGACAATAAAATACATATCAAAGGGGCAGAGTAGCTTAGGCTACTTCTACACTCCGAAGGAGAGGCAAAGAGAGCAAAAGGCTATAATTGAATTCGAGACGAACCAAAAATACTATTATGCAAAATCTAGAACAAAAACCACATCTAGTATTGACCCCTTATGCAAAGGTTATAGAACTTTCACAGACAGCCAAGAAATGAATGAAATACTGAAGTTACAGTACAGTTATGCTTTCAATGAACCCATGAACACTGAAGATCAATGATCCAAACCATATTCTTTATTAATGTAATGCCACTATTGAATCATATATCAGATGTCACACTAACCCCAGTGGACTGTGCAGCAGCTATAGACAGCATGCCAATACACCCTGCACCAAGGCCAAATTCCTAAAATTTTATATAAAGAATTGCAAAAAAAAAAAACTATCACAGGCCCTAAACATTACAGTACAGTATTTGAAGACGGATTCTAGATAGTGGTGTTATCCCCGACATACTGAAAACAGTGGAGATCACGACTCATCATAGGTAATATAGCAGTTTTAAAAAATTATAGTGATACGCATGTAGCACTAACATCACACACCACTTACAAAATAGTAACAGGAATCGACCAAACTGACAAAGAGGAATTCCTGAAACCAGCAACTTCAAGAACAAGAGGACACATACAAGCTGAGGAAACAAAGGTGCCAAAAAAATATTAGTAAGTTTTCTTTTGCAGAGTGGTAGACGGTTGGAACAAGTTAAGTGGTGGTAGAGGCCAAAACCATCGGTAGTTTCAAAGCGTTATACGACAGTACTTGGAAGACGGTACACCACATGCGTAGATCTCATCCTGTACATGGAATCACAGCATCTACATAACCTTGGACATCACGGGTTCAGAGCAGGGTGCTCCTGCCTCTCACAATTGCTAGACCACTATGATATGGCTTAGATGCCATGTAAGATGAGCAAAACACTGATGTAATGCACAGATGTCACTAAAGCTTTAAAAAAATGCAACAATGGTGTTATTGCATAAAAATGCACACAAAAGGAATTACTGGCAATGTAGTTAGATGTATCTTTAACTTCTTAACGAACAGAACCCAGAGTGTAATAGTCAATAAGGTAAAATCTGGATCATCCACCATGCAAGGCTTAGTCCTCTAGGGTACTGCACCTTTATTTGTCCTCATATCGGACATAGACAAGGATACAAACTAATACAGTGGCGCCCTGATTAACGAGTTTAATAAGTTCCGGCACCGAGTTCGTCGTGTGGAAAACTCGTCTTGCGAAACGACGATAAAACTGTCGCCGGAAATGTCCGAGAACCAGCGGGAACGCTTGTTAATCAAGCGAAAGCTCATCAGTCAAGACATATTTTCTGCGAGTGGCTTGCTCGTTACTCGAAATGCTTGTAACTGGAGCCGCTCGTTACTCGAGGTTCTAGCTCCTTATCATCCTTTGTAGATGACACTAGAATTTTCACAAGAGATTTGTAACAGTAACAGCAAACTGATGTAAATCAGGTTTTTCAGTGGTTTCGACGGTTTTTCAACATCAACTAATCTACGTCAGGCTGCGAGCAGCCGCGTCCAACAGCCTGGTTGATCAGTCCGGCAACCAGGAGGCCTGGTCGACGACCGGGCCGCGGGGACGCTAAGCCCCGGAAGCACCTCAAGGTAACCTCAAGGTAAGGTGGGCCAGAGAATATAACATTTTAAATTATTTCTGTCTTATGTTTCTTGTATGCATATTATGAATAAATATTTTTTGTACTATTATTATTATTATTATTATTATACAATGAAAATAAGTTCCAGCTCCTATGCTATGGTGAAAACAAAAATATAAAAACAGAAACCACATATAAAATGCAGTTAAATCACACTATAGAACAAAAAGGCAATACTGTACTATGTAAAAAGATTTAATAGTAGTAATGTTGGAAGACATTACTTTTAAAGAACCCAATAAAGTAGCTGCAAGAAAAATGACAGGTTGGATAACAAGAACCTTTAAAACAATAGATGCCATTCCAATGAGGATACTTTTTTGGAAAAAAAAAAAACCTTGAAGCTATCTTGTTGAGATGGCTCCCAACTACTAGCTCAAATTGGCCATGGAGTTCTGTTTGGCCTTCTGGGGACCAGAGCCAGAACCTGGCCCCTCTTACAGATGCAGAGAGAGCAGGTGACACTGCCACCCCACTGGGAAGGCATCCTGAAAGTCGGTGAACCAATACAGATCACTGCTG